ACAAAGGGAGCAAGCCCCCTTTGCCTGCGCAAGTTTGCGCCCCGGACCGCTGCGGTGGGCAATAGTGAAAGCGCATGCAGCCAAAGGCCACTCTGGCACTAGCATGAAATACTCACGTCACACCACCGGAAAATGCCCCTGACCTGAAGGACTCCCTCCCTCTCTCTCTCTCTCTCTCGCATACTCATGGACCCATGTCAAACGCGACGAACCATGGCTCCATTTCGCTCACTCCCGATAAACTGCATTGGTTCAGCAAACCATGCTGAACTAAGTCGTTGTTCCGTATGGCCCTGGCCTTCTCTTATTTCATGGATCTTGTCATGGGTCCGTTCTACTATACGTGCTCGTCAGAAGGATAGTCTTGCCAAGTGTTGCGATCTGATTGTTACGCCATTGGTTTTTTTCCCTCCCACTTAGCATGGACGAGCCAGCATTGCAGGCATTGGGTTTTTTTTTGTAGGGTTTGGCAAGGCTTGTACGGTTAGGGCATAACGCTTAGGGTTTAGGGCATCTAGACTTACGTGGCAGAGCACTCGGTTTCGGGGCTTACGCTCTCACAACTCGGACGTCTGGCGAGGTTCCATAGGGCAGGTCGGCATGATACAGATTATGTTCCCCGACGGGGTCTGGGGTCTGAATTTAGGGCTTTGGGGGTCTAAACTTTAGGGCACCTGAGACCCCCGAGAGCCGCGTGGCCTTCATCACCCCAAGTCTGCTCTGTTAAGACAGGACACCCTCCGTGGACACCCTGGACTAGTCCTCAATCCTCGTCCAGTAGGTCAACCCTGGGTTACAAACCCGAATCGAAGCCCTGACGAAACGGTAAACGGTAGCGGGCAACAAAACTTGAACCCGACGAACACTGAGCTCAGAAGCCCCTTGGGCCCCAAGTCCAGCGAACTTTCTGCTGTGAACTCAGCACCCCTCAACCCTAAACCCTTAATCCTAAACTCCTCCTTCCCATGCCTCATCTTCTCTTTCAGCTTCTCCAGCTGATCCGCAGTCAGTCGCTGAGCCACCCGCACGGTGACCGGAGTAATCGACTGCCTGTGGCCATGAACTCTAACTCTAACACCTCTTAAGCCCCTTTAAACCCTAAACGCACTGCAAACCCTGAAACTTTTAGACTTTAGTCCTTACTACAGCCTCTTTGCATCCAGGCCTGTTGCAGGCTTGCCGGTAAAGCCCTAAACCCCCAATGGCCTAAACACCCCAAACCGACCGCCTGTAATAGAGGCTCTGGACGTACTCGAGGCAGATGGCTTTCCTCAGGCTCCCAAAAAACAGGGTTTAGTTTCCATAAACTCTTACCGAGTGGTTCATAGGGCTTCGGCAAGGTGCCAGGCCTTGGGGCTTTTGGATCTAATAAGGATTTAGGCTTTCAGGGTTTCGACGTTTCGGGTTTAGGCTAGAACAGGGCTTGGGGAGGATGGTCTGATGTACGGGGGCAGAGCAGAGGAGTCGGGTCTAGCTGTCTAGCTGATACTGCAAGTCTACAGGCAGGTGCTTGCCATGCCGCCGCTTCGTGCTTCTTGTGTAGGCTTCAGGATTTAAGGTTCTATTTTCAGGTAGGGCCTGCCGAGGTTGAAAAGAGAAATGTTGGAAACTTGAAGCCACAAAAGGCAAAAAGGTTCGCCCCTCCTCACTCTCAAACTAGGTTCTAAACCCCAAAGCCTCGACACCCCCTTCAAAAACACAGTTCAAACCTTGACGCCCAGGCCAAGAAACAGGCCTCTCAGGCGATTCTTCTTGGCCAAGAAAACGATGAACTTTGGCACCACACTGGACTGCAAGGGCTGCACCAGCTTGATGAGGGCCTCGGCCTGTTCCACGGCCGTGAGGTTGTAGTCGTTCGTCACCTCGTAATGTTGGGCTTTGTTCTTGCACGACCCTGTTCCACCTGCCGACAGTATGAGTTCATCACCCCTCGGAAGTGCTAAGGGTCTAGGCCATCGTCCGGCAGCCCCACACCCTAAACCTCTAAACCCCAGAAGACAGGACCGCGCGGCCAGGAAGAGAGAATCCTGAAAGTCCTCCGACTGGTAGAGTTCCTTGATCTTCAACATGTCCTGCTGCTCTTCTGTAGGAGCTTAGCAAGCGTTTCTTGAGCTTTTTCGCACTCCCACTCGACGCTGCAGGCCCGTTTGGGTCTTGCTATCTTGTTGTGCTTTGCACTGATCGTAAGTCGTTTATACTACTGTCAGCTCTTTCCTTTTTTTTAAATTCTGTTCCGTTGTGTCCTGCGTCGCGGCGACATCTTCGCCCTTCGACTCAGCTGCGTCGCTGAGGGCCTCACAGCATTCCCCTACTTGGCCTTGCCTAAATCCTAGGGTCCTAGACCCACCCCAGACATCCCGAGACTATTTGTGAACCCAAACTCTGGACTCTAAACCCGAAACATCTGACTCCAAACTCTAAAAACAAAGCTCGCAATTGCGGAACCACTTTGCTGAGGAGTTGCTGCAGTCATGCCCGCCTCCAAAACCAAAAACTCCAAACCCTTGACCCCCTTCCAGCCTTGGCATAGCTCACCACAGGACCGAACGGATTCAGGCCCGAAGCATCCGCTTGAAGCTGCGTCGGTGAACGCGTCCGCTGCTGCGCGCCCTTGGCCTGCAGGAAAACAGTCGGCTTCGGGGTTTATGGTTCGCTTGAGGGTTTTAGGGTGTGGGAGCTGTAGGGCCGATATTTAGAGTTGAGAGTTTAGGGCGTTCGTAGTTGAGGGGAGTATATAGAGCGCAGCCTGGGAAGGAATACAACAACAGTGACGGAATCACATTACTTTCTTTCCGAGATTCATCTTAATGTGCCTGGAAGACTTGGATAGGAGGGTATATTGTTATTATACCAGAATTATCAAATGGAGGGGCTCTGACAGGATACTCTTTGATGCTCGAGGATTGAAACTCAGAGGTTCGGGGCTTTTAAGGAGGACCATAGTCGCCTCAGTTGGCCTTTGGCAAGCCCGATAGATACATCCTTACAAAGCAGTCCTCAACCACAATGGATAGGTACTTGGCTCTGTGGAGCCTTGGGAAAGCCCAGCAGGGACGGCGTAAAGGTGGGAGCCAAAAGGCCCACGGAGAACAGGGCGATGCAGGACAGGAATGGAGCGCGGCCGGCCATGGCTGCAGGCGGCTAAGAGTGGCTCCTTTAATTACGGCTCTACCGTAGCCCACCGGCAGACTCCCCAAAAAACGCTCTGTTGAGCCCAAATTTGCGATTGAAGGCTTTGGGGTGCTTGAACGAGCTTGAACAAGGCTGGAACTTAAACCCCGTAACGTTAATGTCATCATCTTTCTCACCATGCGGAGGCTATTCCATTTGGAGTTCTCGTACCTGGCTGAAAACACCTTTCTCGGAACAACTCACAGAAGGGAGCCCCCAATTAGAGTCTCTTGGAACCATATATCCTGAACTCGTCTTACCCTGAACTTAAAACTGAGTCCGAATCACGCATCCCTATACGAATCCGGGCTTCGCAGGTGTGCCGGAAGCCCCCCCTTCCCAAGGTAGCGCACTACACTAAGGACTGTAGAAAACCCCCAAAGGCGAGGAAAGCACAAACATCGTCTCGGCTGCCGCACCCAGCGCTGCAGCTCCAGCGGCTCCACATCCGACAGGTCGCCGGCCTTGGGGAAGTGTCCGTGGTTTGAGGGGTTTAGGGTTTAGGGTTTCGACTCACACACTGTGCGGGTTTAGGGTTTAGGGTTTAGGGGCCTTAACATAGGAGTAGGTTTTTTTCTTATTTCGGGCTCCTGAAAAAAACTCCGTCGGAAGGGCTCCGCAAGGCTTACGGATTACCGGTCTCGAGGGACGCAGCACAAGCAACTCCAAAAAAACACCCCTCCGTCAATAATGTTTTTTTGCATTTCTACACGGTGAAGTATAGGGGACCTAGTGATTAGAAGAAGTGCTAGTACGGGGGGGGCGGAGGAGGAGGAGGAGGAGGAGGAGGAGCGGCAGCAGTGGCAGTGGCAGTAGCAGTAGCAACAAAAGCGGCAGCGCAGCAGCCGCCGCAGCAGCAGCAGCAGCAGTAGTCGCCACTGCTGTCCTAGTCGTGGTCATAGACATAGACATCGAAATCATCGTCGTATTGACGAAATTTGCTCTGAAAATTAGTCCTCTTGTTGCCCGCCCTGACATACGCCTTGCCTAAAGCATCAACGGCACAGCTTTGGACTCTGAGAGCTTACGGCTTCGTTTAAGCTTTCCTTTTGGCGTTTCGGGATTCACTCACAGCCGTAGCGGTAGCCCTCAACCCTGAACCCCAAACCATAAGGGCCAAGAGCCACCAGTGCTTCAACACATGACTTGCTGACCTCTGGTCTGACGGTCAGGGATCCCCAGCTATGGATGGAACTGCTTCGCACCTTTACCCTAAACCCCTAAAGCCCAACTCCCCGAAAGCACAACACTCGCCTCATAAGCCTTGCGCCCGAGACTCCCTCAGGCGAGGGCCGTGAATAACTCCTGTTACTTACACTTACACTAAAACCAACCCCCCTGATCTCACTATTCAGGCCCCTCCCTTAAACCTTACATCCCGCACCCTGAGCCCGAAACACTCTAACCATCTCTAACCCCTCGGGAGCGCGCATCCCGCGGATCCCAACGCTTGTAGCGGCGCGGCCTGGTCTTGTCTTCGATCGCCCTCCCCGGAGCCCTGAACTCTACTTCCCGACACCCTGGATGCCCGAAACTCCCGGCCCAAAACACTCATGATTACACAGATGACCATGACAAACTGGAAACATCAGTTCAACCATTTGCTCGCAAGTGGCCAACCTCACAGCATGCACTCTCCTGACACACTCCGCATGGCTGAGCACTTGGAGCTGCCCGTTGCAAGGCTTAAGAGTTCTGAGCGCTCTGCCCGAACCCCAAAGCCTCAAAACTTCGGGGGGCGTCTGCTTGAATGGACACCTTAAAGCCTTACTGTAACATCCTAGAACCAACCCTCTTTGATTCCTAAAGCAACAGAACCTCCAAAGCGCTGAAGCCAGAGAACCCTCCAACCCCTCACCTTCTGGTCACTTGTGAGTACAAGCCCCCTAAGCCATCCAACTCTTAACCCTCTGGACCATACATAAAACCCCAGAGGCCTGAAACCGTCAAAACCCCCCCAAGAGGCTGCGACGCTCCTCCCGGGTTCTCCTCCAGCTCTAGCCGGCCGCGATCCTGGGAGGGAGGAGGGCCCCACAAGCCCATAAAGTCCTTGTCAACCCCCTAATTTAGGCTTTAAAAACCCCTTCAAAACCAATAGCAACCCTTATGAGACAACTGAATAAGAGCTTCTGTTAAGGCTGTTGAGGGATGTTTGCCCTCCCGCTCGGCAAGGATGAGGCCTGCATAGCAGGGGTTTGTTAGGGGCTAGACTTGGGGTTTAGGATCTTAGGGCTGTTTGCGATTGGAATGATACGAACTCCGGTCTGGACTTTGACTTTGAGATGTAGCACGGGGTGGCTTCAGGGGCTGGCTTCGGAGTCTCAGGTTGCAGGGGCTCACTGAGTTTTTTCCCAGCTTATGCAGGGAACAACACACTAGTGAAGGGAGAAGGTTCTGACTTCTTTGGAGAAAACATGGGTGAAGGGCGCCCTGAAAGAAGGATGTTGGGCTCCGGCCAGATAAGCTGACTCTATGCTGAGCTGCCCACGATTCTGCCCACGATGCGGGACAGAAGCATCTCGATGTTCTCCACGCCTGCCCAAACCCTGTACACCTGCATTCACCAGAAACCCGACCATTCCAGAACCCACCTCGATTCCCTGACATGACGAGTTCGGGTTTAGCTAGAGAGCTTGGGCTTCAGAGGCTTCGAGATTCAGGGTTTCAGGCTGAACCTGGAACCCTATATTGCACGCTAAGCCAGGCAACTCAACTCCACGACATAAGGCCATAAGGCCCTAAACCATGAAACCGCCAAAGCACTAGATGACAAATCCAGGGGTTAGCCCCCTAGGCCCTAGAATTCCAAACCTGAAAATCTGAAACCCACAAGTTTAGTTCTTTCTTTCCCAGGCTCCCCGCTGACATCGTCCACGTCGAGCTTTCCCATGTTCGCCTGGGACTACCGAGCTCCGAGGTCTCGGGAAGATCCCCGGATCCTGGCTTCTCAACTCAGATGTATCGAATCCCACACACGAACTGAACTCCCAGGATGATGAAGATCATCATCATCATGATCATCCTTATTAATTATTTTTGACTTGAACCATCACTATCACCATCATCATCATCACCATCACCATCATTGCATCACCCTTGTCATCATCGTCATTGCATCATCATCAGAATCATCATCATCATCATCATCAAAGATAGCTGGCAAGCAGGTTTGATGCTACCACAAACATTACAAGCATACTTTTCATGAAATCGCTGCGACTGATATAATACCATCGTTTCCTAGGATACTGGCTTTGCCTGCTTTTCTCGTTCGCGTCATTGCTGTAGGTAGCAGTTATGGGGTGCATCTGAGGTATGGTCTAACTTGCAACAAGCCGAACAAAGCCCCAAAGCTGGGAGAGCGGCTGCCAAGGCATCTGTCGGCAGTTCTAGCACGCCGCTGACTGATCCAGTCTCCCCACCTCGTCTGAGGGCTTCGACATTTAAAAGATTAACATCAGGATTTCCCGCAGGATCTGGGGTCTTGTCCAAACCTGCCCAAGGAACCGGGATTCACCAATGGATGCTTCTCCGATACCCTGCTGTCCAGAAAGACTGTGGCCTCTGTTTCGCATCTCGCACGGTGTTTTCGGCAAGAGAGCCGGGCACATGGCACAGACGGATCTGGGCTTTGGTGAGGTCTCTGTAGCATGTAATGGTATATTCCGTGGCATCTAAGGTCATCATAGGGGCGCACAATGTCGAACAACCATAAGTCTCAAATGGTTCCGGCTCCAGCTCTTCCAGAAGCCTTGACAGGAGTAGACACACCCAGAGACTCCAAATCTGACAACTGAGGCTCCTTCTCTTCAGGATCCGCTTCTTTTAAAGCTATTTGAGGTGTATTCCTTGATTTGTGATTGTGGAGTCGGCGGGCGCCGGGTGCCTTTTCAGGCGCCAGGTCTCACTTCATTGGAACCGTCTGGTGGAAGGCCTCGAAATCAACCTCGTGCGCCCCATCCACGACACGGACACAGGGAGCCAGCCGGCTTTTGTAGCGGAGATTTTCTTTGGAGTAGGAGTGGCGAGCCTCCAGGCTGTTACCCGTGATAGGGCAGCTTGCGCTGACAACCACCAAGATCTCCAGGTAGTCCAAGCTGTTCGTGCAATACTGGAAGTCATCGAGGTCCCTGGGTCCACAAAACCTAAAGTCAGCAAAGTAAGAGCAACTGCCCGCTTCCCTTCGCATCGAGGGCGAGGGGCCAACCGTTAGCCCTTGACCCCAAAACTCAAAAACCTACTACGCACCTAAACCACAAACCCGTAAGCTTAAACCCCGAAACCCTTCAAAACAAAACCACAAAAGGCACTGTCGAGGTCTTAGCGGCTTGAGGTCTGGTGGCGCCAGCGGGGATGCAGCATCCACCCTATGGACGACCTCAGGTTTCCACTGGCACAAGGCAGGCACGGCTTCAAGCCGACCTTGGGTTTGGGCTTTAGGGAAACACTTCGGGTCTCACATTTACGCGTTCGAGGGGCTCAGGGGACTGTAGATTGGCGGCAGAGTTTAAGGGCTCAAGTGGTTCTGTAGGGTTTTTGGGGGGGTTTCGGGATTTTATCAGGGCGACCTTGGTGGGCAGCGTCAAGAAGAGCTTACCGTCTGCGATCTCGATGTTCGGCGTCTCCAGGATCATGGGACGGACATCCACATCCTGGGTCTACTGCGCTCCTCAACCCAAATCAACAACCGGTAGGTTCGTTGAACAATCACGAATACCAGCTACCAGAAGATATCAGAGCATTCTGGATTGCTGGCCCAAACCCCTGCCGGCACCCCACCTAAAATTCGAAACAACTTGCCCTGAATCCTCCACCCCAAAGCTGTGCCGCTTATCACCCTCACAGCCAGCTCAGCTTCAATGAGTTCTGTCGGCTCTGGAAGCATGTCATGCTTGATGGCATACATGCGCACGATGGGTTCAATCACCGGCCGCTTGGCAACCTGTGGGTTTGCATGACCCAGCTTCGAGACGTCCGGAAACACATGGCTCCCATTACTATAACATGACACCCTTCCCGACCTGGCATGCAACCCGACAATTCCAGCCTCACATATTCGCAAGGACAGCTTGATGTGGCCGCCTTCCTCAAACACCACAGCTGCGTCGCTGAAAATAATACTGGACGCACGTTTGACGGCGGTTGAAAGACGCGTGTAGATAAGATTCAGGAAATATGCGTCCATCAATAGTCCCAGTAGGGATTGCACCGCCAGGAGCGGAATGACTCCACGGCAGTCGTCAAAGAACCTTGGTTTCTCACCCTTTTGCTACCAGCGTCCTGCCCGCAATGTCTCAAGGCTCATATAAGACAGACTACGCATGTACTTCTTGCAGCGAAGCCAACGGGTCCGAAACTCCATACCCAATCGTCGTCATCGTCTCCATCGAAAGCAAAAAAGCACGACGGAAGGTGAGATCCTTTGGTTCGCATCCCTCTGCCGCCACTTGCCACCAGAAAGTAAAAACCACCCATCCAAGAAGGTATGTCGCGGCGTAGACCAGAACCAAGTACCGAAAAGGCATGTTAGCCAAGTAGTGGAAGAGGTCAGTTCGAATGAACTCCTAGGCACACAAACAGCTGCCAGCTCCCCAATGGCTTGGGGGTTTACGCCTGAGGGCTCAGGGCTTGGGGTTGAGGGTACCGTGCCAAGAGTCAGAGTCTTACTACCCCGAAAGAGGTGTTACCTACTTTCCGGCCCGGAGTAGTGACCATCCTGCTGCCAAATATGTAAACATCCACAAGTTGCACAAATAGTTGCATTTCAAGTTCAAACATTGGGCTAATCGTAGGCGCCTCCCTGCTCCTTGAAACTGCACAGGGTCCCTTCTTTTCAAGCTCCAGAACCCTGACTCCCAAACACCGCTACACCACCCCGTCAACCGCGAGCATTGGGCATGTCTTTGGAAGAACCGGGTCCCCCAACCACCCAAGCCTGAATCCTTGACTTACCCAGACCCAAAGCCCGAAACTACCTCAATGCGAACCCGCTCTCCTGGCCTCAACACGGCCGATTCCACCATAGCGCACGTGGAAGAAGCCCCGTGTTCGTGAACTCGGTAAACCCCTCCGCAGTAGACCTCCAGTAGGTTCAAGGGAAAAAGTATTAAGGACACTTGTGCACTCAATTTTTGTTTAGTGTAGGTGGTGCGTACCTACAGTGTTTGTTTTCTTGTACACCCATGCATATTGGACTACCATACTACGACAAAATGCATAATTCGACTGGAGAGTGCGTGTCTGTGTGTATGCATGCATGCATGTATATATGTATGTATGTACCGTGAGGTAAAACTCCATCTTAGTTGGGGCCGCCATCTTCTCGCTCCTTGCAGCTCCGCTTCGCCCGGGTGGGACAGCACCCAGAGAAGAGGGTCATCCTAAACCCTGAACCAGTATCCCTATGTCGTGAGTCCTGGGCCGCAAGCCCTGAAACAAAAAAAGAGCTCCTAAGCTTGCCATGATAGCAGAACAACAAACACCAAGAATAGAGACAATAACAATAATTTGCCTCCTGTGTTGCAGGAGAACAGAAACAACAATTTCGATGATGGTCATCATGTCATAAGTGTTGAAATGTTAACGAATTTTGACCAAAAAACGTGGGCCTATTTGCTTTACCATCCGAGCACGAACCGTAGCTGAAACCGTCGTGAAACTAATCATCGCCCTAACAATGGACTCCTAAACCCTAAACCCAACCTAAGGTTCGACCTAGATCCTATAAACCTTTTCACTTGCTCAGCGCAGGTTGCGAGGTGATCGTGGAGTCGGCGGGCAAAGGCCCGTTGTGTCAGAGCCGCTGTCAGAACCATCCATGACAGCTTCTCTATCAAAGGGCTTGGGGCTGCAGACTTTTGGTTCGGTCCTCTACTGCTCCTTACGAAGTGGAATTAGGCATTCAGTGCCTAGAGTTGGGATTCGGGCTTAGGGCCGAGGGTTTGAGGCTTAGTGGGCTTAGTGTTGTATGCCTCGCCCTGGGGGTTTCGCGGTTCGGGCACAAATACCGAAAGGAACTTTACCAACGCCTTGTTAACGATGTAACAACCAATCGCACAGCAGCAATCAGATGGCTTTTAAGTTCACCGCAAGGAACTGCCGAATGCTTGGACGTAGCAAGCAACTGTGTCCCAGTGCAAACCCCAGAGCCAAGCTGCACTGCCAAGAAAACCCTCTGAACTTCCGAACACCCGGGCATTCAAGATGGAACATACGCTCCCGGAAGCGTACACCCCTTTCTGCTGCAGGCTCCCGCCTCACTCCCTAGACCGTATGGCCTCAACCTTACACCACTGCTTTTGTGCGTACTTGAATATTTCGGTTCGGGAAATCTTCGCTGGATACAGAATGCCGAATCATTCGCATCTCGAATAAGACTCCCCAATGAGAAAAGGACATATAGCGTTCAGCATCATTTGGTCCACCGAGTCGGGGACTGTTGCCGGCAGAAGCTTGGCGACCTGACCTCCGGTGGGTCTCTGTGGTTTAGTATAGGCTTCAGAATCGCGGGCTCGGGGGGTTCAGGATTCGCGTCTACTGTATAGGGTGTAGCAAGGCATTCGCCTCAACACTGATCAATTTCAGCGTCCGGGAAGTTCCTCTAAACCTCCCTACTAGTCATTAGTAATCCCGCTGAGCGAGCAGAGTAGTAAAGCAAATTGAAGGTTGGTTTGGATTTGTTCCCCGTAAGTTCGGTGTTTGAAGTTGTGACTGGACAGGAGGACAACAAGAAGAAAACACGTATACATATCACGCATATCGAGGCATTCAGTTGACAAGGGACACCTCGGACCTGACCCTGCCCAGGATAGCATTGGACTTGTTGCTCCGACACTCACCCTGACAGGAAAATCATGCCGGCTGATTGAATCAGCTGCCGTTGCGCCTGGAGCTTTAGGGTTTACGCGACCCTAAGCCGTAAAGCCCTAGTCCGGACACCCGAATCTCCCCAAATACTGGTTAACTGCTGACTGTATCTTTACTGACGTTTAGTTCCTAGTCAACCCCAGAACTTCTTGAATCTACCAATCAAGTGGCTCCATCAATCTAAAAGCTGTGAGGTTTAGGTTTTACCGCTGAGCAATCCCAAGCCCTGTCAAATCAGAGAACCCGGCGTGTCCACACCGGTGTCTGCAGAGTCGTCGTGCCTCCGACTCGCGCTTTGCGACTTAGAGTTTCGGCAGACTTAGTTCGGCCTCCCCCATTGGGGGTGCTTTCGGCCTCCTAAGTGAGTTAGAGTTTCGGCCCTGCTTTATGGAGGGTATGTCATGTGACTTGAAGACTGCGGCTTCTCAGATTTTGGTGGCTTATGCTCCTTGGAGCTGGGGGGTCTCGGCGACTGGATACTTCCGGCACTGCCAGGAAGCATGACATCTGACAACTGCTGAAGGCTTTCAGCGAAGCTTTCCGATATCAGAGAATAGAACTTAAGATCCCCAAATCCCTAAACCCTGAAAGACTTGGTTGAGGGTTTAAGAATCCTTGGCTTTTGGGGTCGGCTTGGAGGTCGTAAGGTCCCACCCCAGGCCCTAGGACCCCTCTATTGTTCCGGGCCTGCAAACCGGATTTCGCAAGCTTTGGGCTTCAGGGTTTAGGGGTTGAGAGGTTTAGGGTTGTCGCAGTATGAAGCGGAATGCATCAAACACGTCAGCCGGCGTCCTTGCGGATCCATGGGTCCTTACTTTTGTGGGGCAGGGCCCCTTTGGGACATTGATGTGCAGCCCTTTTCCCCTGTGCACAGCTGATCGCACCTCGTTGGGCCGAATGTCCAATTTGGGACATAGCCCAAAAATGCCCAAGCCCCAAAATCCCTTGACCCAAATCCTAACTTTTCGAGCTTCGCACCATGATAGCTTGGAGCTTTTCGGGCTTTGGGCGGGCTCTTGCAACCAGCCCTAACTCCTGCTTGACAGCTCGAAGATTCCTTACAACGCTAGGTAGGACGGGGACCAACACGTGGAACAACAGTGGTGATGGTCCAGCAGTGGTACAGCACAGGATAAAGCCAGTACCAGTACTTGAACTTGTACTGGTGCTGCTGCTGACAGCGCTGGCTGCCGCTCGAATTCACCTCATGCCTGAGTTCGAACTCATGGCACTTTTTGCGAGCGGCGAATGTTCACAGACTCCAGCATTTCCCAGCATACAGGCGGATTGATCAGCTTCCATGGGCCCGGGGGCTTTCCACTCTCCATGCACGGTCTTCGCGCTGCGAGATGCCGGCTCTCAATGTAAACACTGCGGTTGGCCCAGGCAAGTGACGGCAGCAAAGGCACAAAGTCCAGGAGGGGCACAGCCTCACCCGCGAATCCCACAAAATCTCGGATCAAATTGCCCCCAACAGCTCCAGGTCGAAGTGCAAATCTGCCCAGTGCTGGCTGGGCCAATACTGCAGCTTCTCTCCATCAATGTACCTAAGCTGCCAAAGAATCCATGTGCTCAGCGGTCCCTGAGCCAATAGCTCGAAGCCGTCTAGATCCTGCAATCGCAAGCGTTGCATCGCCATAAAAACCCGCCGCACAAGTTTCAACGCCGTGCAATCCTGGTCCAAGGCGCAACTCCGTCAAGAAGAGGTTGCTGCAGCTGTTAGGGAGCACGGAGATGTGGTTCCTGCTTGGGACTTCGGCCTCCGAATCTCTAAGTTCAGCGCAATGTTTTGAGTTCATGGCCTTCGGCTATACGGGTTCAGAGGCAAGGCTTAGGTTCAAGGGTTTTGTTCAGGGCCCAACCTACAGGCCGATGCAGACGCCCAAGGCTAGAGTTAGAGGCATCGGGCCGTCGGGAGCTCGGTTCCCGACTCAGAACTGAAGCTTCAGATCCGGGGCCTTTGCGGATTCAGTGGGAGCGCGTCTTCAAGCGAGGCTCCGACAGTTCTTGGTTCCGACGGCTCCAGCCGTCAATCATCGACCCATCAGGCCTAACCCCTGAGAGCAAAGACCCTGAGCCATGCATGAATGCCCGTTTCGGTATCGGCATTCTTTGGCATGAAAAGCTGCCTGACCTCCAGAAAATCGGACTTCGAACAAGCTGCAGTACTTGTTGTCACCCATCCGGCACGCCTATGACAGCCCGTAGCAAAGCTGCAGTACTAGTAATGGTAGTTGTGGTCGTAGTAGACGGAGCTGCCCCAGCAGGAGGAGGAGTAAGAGTAGTAGTGGTAGGTGTAGTGGTGGGTTCAGTAGAGTGAAGGCGAAGTAGCAGGCTTCGGGTGGGGGAGTGATAGTGGGAGTGCAGTGGAGCCGGACCAGGTGGTGCTGGTGGTGTGGCGGTGCTGTGTTGTAACTGGAAGCGGTGGTAGCCGTGGTATTAGTGGTGCTGCGGTGGTTGCTGGTTTGAGGTTCTGTCATGCCTTCATTACCAGAACCGTCGCCTAAACCCTGAACTCTCAATCGCCAGTCCTCTCGATGTTCAGCGTGTGCAGACTAGACAGCTCGCCGAAGCTCTCCGGCAGAAGGCGGAGCTGGTTGTGGTCCAAAGACCTGAGCACTGTAATTCAGAGTTCAGCGTGCAAAAACTCTAGGGCGACAGACCTAAACTTAGGACATGAAGATTCCGGGCCGAAAGCCTCAACTTGGCCTAAACCCAAAAACGAAATCACTGAAGCTACATGTCGCAGGCCCTGGTCTGCAGGAGCAGCTCCTTGGGCCCCCGACCTCTAAAGCCTAGCCGAAACTACTGCTGCTACTTCTACTACTGCTGCTGCTGCTGCTGCTACTGCTGCTACTTCTACTGTTACTGCCACTGCTACTGCTACTGCTGCTGTTACTGCCACTGCTGCTCCTTCTGCTGCAGCAGCTGCGACTAAGACCACGACGACTTCGACATTTTCGAGGACCACCGCGACCACCGCCGACGCAACCGGCACTGCTACTGCTGATGCCACCGCCATTGCGAGTGCTGCTACTGCTTCTGCTACTGCTGCAACTACTGCTGTGGCTGTGACAACGACGTCGCAATACACCGGAAGGACCACTTTCTGACAGCTCGGACAGCACCGTGAGCCGCAACCCCCCAAACGTACAGACCTGGAGCTCCAGATTAAAGACCGAAGCCTAAACCCTATCTTCAAGGTTCAGAGAGTCATTGCGAGGGCTTCGAGCGCAGTCTGATTCCAAGAGCTCGGATACCAAACAGAGATGAGGCACAGCCTCTGAAGGCACTTCAGCTGACCGAAGTCGTCCGGCAGAGACACCAGGCTGTTGTTACCTCAGCGTGACTCTTCATTGCGACTCTGCCACCCAATACTCCGGCAGCACTCTTACTATTGTTGATGGTCCTGTTGTGTCAATTCTTAAGCTACCTTGGCTTCATAGCTAGTTGCGTTATTGCTATGTGGAATTTATGCATTGTCTATGAGCATCGCCCTTATAGTTCTGACTGCTGCTAGGTGTGCATTGCCCGTACTGCTGCTGTTGTTCTTCCTTGTGCGATGGCACAGGATTAAAGGTCTGAAGAGCTTGCGGGCACTTCCCTACACGGGGGTTGCTCTGAAAGTCCTCGAAGATGCGCCGGATCATGAACACGTAAACGCACCTAGAGAGATGCCAGTTGCTGGTTTAGAACACCACCCTTGTAAACGCAGGGGTGTTTCCAACAAGGCAAAATATGCATGTTTGCCTATCGGGTGATCAACCCAAGCCCTAAGCTCTGAGCCTTAAATTGATTTCACCCCTCCCGCCTGCATCACGCTAGATTCGTTTCTGCTAAGATGCTCACCCAACCGAACTTCCGACTTCCGGCATCGAACTCAACGACCTGAACCCATCTTCAGCCAGGCTGCTAAGGTAAAGCTCTGTCAATCTTATCAGCCGGCCAAAATTGTCGGGCAGCTGTGTTAGCCGATTCCTTGGTTGCGGCGGGAGGCGGGAGCCCTCCCGAGCATAGCTGCGAAGTCTCAGGATCGACACCACCAAGCTTGGAAAAAGACAAAAGCCAAGGCCCAAACCTCCGACGCCTGCATGAAGCCTAAACTCCGAACTCGAATGAGGCCTTAATAATTAGACTAGGGTTTTCGGGGTTCATGATAAAGAGAAACAAGAAATCCTAAAGAATAATGTTGGTAATTACTTATTTAATTTAGGCTCCTAAATAGAAAGCCTCAAAACCCTCATCTCCAACCTTGCCCTTGAGACGACAGGCGACACCGACACCCGGGCCCACAAACGCGCGATCCGAAGTCCGAGCCATCGAAGCCGAAAGCCCGAAACCCCAAAGCCCCTAGCCCTAACCCCCTGTTCTTCACAAGCCGAGTGAAAGCCATGGAGCTACTGGAAAGCCCGCATGAGCCCCTCCTTGAAAGAAGTTCATTGAATCCCAAGCGCTCTTCCCAAACCCTTTCCCCAAACCCACTTGGCAAGTAAAGTTTCAAGCCCCAAACCAAACCCGACACCCGTATCTACAAACTAGACCCGAAACCCTAGACTAGACCCTGCACTCTTAACCGAGGCACTGAGTGGCACTGAGCCGTGTCAGCGAAGTAAGCTCGGGGAGGCTTCTTGGCAAAGCCGTGAGCCTCGGTGCAGGGCTGAATGTTTTGGGTTCTATGGGCGTTGGTTCCCCAACCACGGTGGTCACTACGGTCTTCTTACAGCTCTTACATCTGGAGATCCAGGATGAATTCGCTGAGTGCACGAGGCACCAGCAGTTGGCGCACACAGGGGTTCCGCGGCTACCGCTGTGGCGCAGGCCACGCACTCGACTGACAATCGCGTTTTTCCAAAGTCCTGCATCGGTCCTTTTTGTTGGAGACGCTGCATTCATTGGTAGAAGCCAGCACTTTGGTGTTGGCAAGCTCGATTGCTCGAAGTTGCTGAATTGTGCTCCCGCCACCAGAGCCTTTCACATTTTCGAGAGTTCTTGGGAGGACACTGAATGCGCGCATTTCCCTCATCGCCCATGCGACTGCAATACACATATTGATGCAAACACGGTGTGCCTTCAACTGAGTGCATCACCCTCCTGCAGAGCAATTTGGGTTTTAGGGCTTTCTGGCTTCAAAGTCTTGGGTGCGAGGTTTTGGGCCTATGAGGCTTTCAGCGTCTACTGCACGCCAGAGGGGATTCTGAATGTCACCACTAAGAACCGAAGAAGGTTTGAAAATTTCACGAAGCTAACGGACCGGCAAATAGACGGCGCAGCAGAAAAAGTCAGGACCCAAAACTCTTGAGAAACCGCGCTTGGGTGGGTACAGGGTTTAGCAATTGGAGATATTTCGGGTATAGGTGGGTTTCGCAATTCGATCTTGGAGAGGAGGGCTGGGGAATTGGGCTTTGGGGTCTCTTCGGAAAGAAGGTTTAGGAATAATTCGAGTGTAGGGCTTTAGGTCTCAGTGCAGGCCTTCGCGATTCAGGGGCCGCGGGCTGGCTTCTAGGCGAAGGCGGTTCCGGGTTTAGGAAGTGGGGCGGCTTAGGAACTAGACGCAGGGTGTCGGATGGAGGAATTGTGGCCCGGGGTGTAGAGCTCAGGACTTGGGCTTCGGTTTGGGTTTTGGGGTGTGGAATTTAACAGCACGGCTTCTCTTCTAGGAGTGAATGCAAAACACCGCTTGTCTTCATGCAATGCCTGAGCAAACAGATCGAGTTCCATGCAGACTTTCATTAAGAAGCAGCCCTCGAGAAGCCAATGAAATACGTACTTTCAAGGCTTCAGCACACCAGACAATCAATCACGCGGGCGGGATCGTGCACCAGTTTTCACTCGGCGTGTCCCACAAAATGTCTGATGCGATAGAAGCAGCTGACCCTCACCCTTTTTCTATTGCAAGCTTGCCCGCAAACCACTGCACCACTGAACCCCTGACCCTTGTTGCATGAGCACCAACCCGAGCCGGGTGGCTGATTTCGACAGACCAACAGCACGTTCAAGGACGTGAGCTGTCCAAGGGACCTCAGATCGAGTTGGGTTTGGAGCTGCGGAGGCCTTGCTTTAGGAGTCCAGGGCTTTGGTTTCCGGGGTGGCTTCAGTGCCCAGTTTCATCAACCAAGTTGTTAAATCATGAAACATGAAGGGGTTTTCTTGGCGGAGACGGGAATACCACCATCCCAAGTTTGGCGGACCGGGAATCCCACATTAAAGCAGATGTGACTTGGGTACACGACAAGGGCTCTGGATTTACACTTCGGTGGTCTACACGAACAGAACTCCGCAACATCCGCAGTTTTCATACGCCGAACAACAACATCCCAAACTCGGATCTGGCTGGTTAGCATTCCCTGCAGGAGCCAAATACCCTGCAATTAACACAAGTAGCTTGGATTGGAAGGCTCTGAGTATGACTCAGGAATTAATTATGAGCTCCGTGAATATTCCCTGAGCCCTGTTCGAGAGACCTGGACCCTAAACCCTCCAATTTTCCGGAAACTTCAATCCGCCGAAAGCCAAGACGCTCAGGAAGAGTTTTCAATGCGTTGTGGAGAAGCCGCAGCTCCACCAGAGATGCCTCGGCTAACGTTCGTGGGCATACCACATGGTCCAGAGGTTTAGAGTCTATTTCTCCAAGCCCCGTTGACTCGAAACCAGAGTCTGCTTATGTGTAAATCGCTCCCCTGGCTTCGATTGCAACAGTTGTTACAACAATCAGAAAGTGTTCCTTTGGGATCACACAGATTTTGCTGCACATGCTCCACAACCGTGCCACTGGCCTTAACGCAACATTACTTGGGTAGTTTTCTACATTAGGGTCCCTTCTAGGGTCCTTCTTCATAAGTGTGCCGAACTATATTGGGCACCTAAAGAGGGAACCTAATTTAGAGAACTACCCAGTGACCTCCCAAAGCGTGCGCCTTTGCTGGGGGCACAAAAGGACTTTGAGAAGCAACCCCACGCTCTACACTAGGCTCTTGTGCCTGGCCTTCTATTACCCTAATTTTCCTTCTTGGGTCTTCTATTACCCTAATTCTCCTTCTGGGGCCAGAATTGCTAGCATGCTGGCAAAGGTGCCAACGAGCCGACGTCGGAGGGCAATCGCTCGAGCAGGCTGCTTTCGATGTGGAGCTGCCTACGACAAGGGCCACTCTTCTGATTACACATCTGAGACAGCTCTCTCGGGTAGACCCTAAATCAGACAGCAAGTCCGACTAAACTCTAAACTCTCGATCCTACACCCAAAAACCCCAAAAACGGCCCTAAACCCCAAACTGCCTCAGAGATACCAGGCAGGCGAGTGAAGACGGCAAGTGCGTCAACTTCGTCTTGCAGAGAACCAGCCTGGAACGGGCTGCCACGCGACTGCAAGGTCCCTTAGTTAAAGCCTTAGTTAAGGTTTAAAGATTAGTGTCGAGGGTCTAGGGTTTAGGGTCTAAACACAGACGCTTACGAAGCGTCTCTCTTTGCAGTGATAGTGGCTTGAGTGTTGTCACGTCCCATGTGGAGATTCGGGTCTTCAGGGTTTGGGGTTTTAGGCTTAGGGCTTAGGGCGGTTTTCCCACCCAGCAGTGCAGACACGAGTAAAAATTCTCAAGGAGGAGTGGAATCATGCTGCACTCGAAGGAGAACTGCAAGGGACAGGAGGAGCACCAACTAACGCGAACAACTCCCATCATTGAGTACCCAGTGGCACTCCAATGCTGTCCCTCGCGAGTGTTTGTACAACTGCAGAAACAGGCTAGGGGTTTAGGGTCTGGGTTTTAAGGCTAAGGGCCTGGGATTTTTTGCATGGCGGAGAACTATGCTCAGAGGCGAGGTTTGAAATAGGCATACAGCTGAACCTTGCATGGTATGAGTTACAATCTACCGGTTCCCAAGCAAAATCAAAACTTCGCTCATTTAGACATACCGTGAGATACCCCCTGTAGCGAAGTGTAGAAAAGGGCTTGAGTTTAGGACTCAGGGTTTACGCTCTCACAACTCGGACAAGCCAGGCGAGGTTCATGGTGCGAGGTCGGCGTGAAGACAGGAAACAACAGCGCAGACACGAGGGAAGCACTAACCCAGTCTAAGACCAATCCACTGATCCACCACACCGGAAACCATCAACTGGGATGTTGAGGAAGCTGCAAACAGGTCTGGGGCTTCACAAGCCTAACAGTAACCAAGAAATAGCGACAGAGAGAGAACATCCCAGGGTTTAGGGTCCAGGGTCTAAGGACTATGTTGAAATCATGAAGAACATGATCTGAATGATTTAAGGATCCTGCTCCAAAGAGTCAAACATCACCAATAAAAAAAACCTTGAGTTCTCACCTCGAGCTAGAGGTATGTAATTCTCATGTTCTCTCTGGGATTACAGCGTGGCTTCGTGGAGTCCATTCGACCCCGCTTCTGAAGCGGAAGGCTTCCCAAAGTCCTCGGCTCTTCTTTGAAGAAATGAAGGCTGCAGGGCTTAGGGTTTACGGTCAGCTACGATGGTAAACAAAGCAAAACTTACTATATGGCCCTGTTTTGGTACACTTAAAACAAACTCCCTAACCGTACACCCCAAAAAAAATAAAACTCAATGTGGTAATTCAAAATATTAACTCCTTACCAAGAACCCAGGATCTCGGGAAGCTGAGACAGCGAAGACCGCATCACGACCAACTGCTCCAGCTTCGTAAAGGCCGTGAAGTCTTCAGGTAGCGTCTCCTTGAGTGCACCCTAAACCAACATAACCCTAAACCCCAAACCCCCGCCCAAAACATAACCAATCGTAACATTCAATACAATTCTTATATGACATTGGGATGAAACGATGCTGGTAGAACATCACAAACTGGAGCTCTGAGTGAGACGCATCATGTGCACGGATCGGATTTGCAAAACGTGCACGTGAGCCGAAACGATCAATCCATCAACGGACTGTATTTCTAAACTTACTACTGAAGGTGGTCATACAAGCCCCACAACAAAAGTAACATAAGCAAAAACACACCCTAAAGCAGGAACGCCAAAAACCGACACCAACCGCAGCCTCCAAAGCCCGAACGCCTGAGCCGGACCGGTCAAGAAGAGAGAAGATGCTAGACACGCTTCATCCTAATGATTACCCCAATATGCAGGCCTTAATAATGAGAATAAGGTTGGTGGGTAGATTGTGCTACATGTATGTATTGGGACTATAAGGGGATACTGATACTAGTCATTCAGACCCCTCCATGAAACGGAGACTTGCAAACCAGCGAAACGCTTCCAAGATGATGGCAGTATATAGGGTTTCAGGGTGTGGCCATAAACCTACTCCCCGGCCTGTAGCTGTTCCGAGATGTAGGTTTCCGGCAAACAAACTAGTTCGGGGTCAAGGAAGGATCGAGTGGTAGGCGCCAAGCTGCATGGGGCCAGGCATCGTGCAGCTGGAGGACGGAGCACTTCTCGCTGGCTTCCTGGCTGGAGCTGTGGCAAGTTTCGGTCGTTCCGATAAAAGACGTGTTGTTGATGACTCTTTTTCGATACCCGGTTTAGAGAGTTTTCCCTCTCGCATAGCTAAGGATCTATGCCCACAAAGGGATCAGGGTTCAGAATTTCTTTGGAGAAGCGACGGTTCAGGTGAAGTTCAGGCTTGGGGCTTCCGTGGTTAATTTCAGTTTGGGCTTCTAAGGGCTTCGGAAGCGACGCCGGAAGTCCGTCCGCGTCGGTGTTACTCGTTGAACCCGACAACTCCCCCTTCATGCATGACAACTCGACCTCGAAAGCCTTTGCCCAGCAAACCCCGCAGAGTACAAACCCAATCCAAAATTCTGGCTTCAGGAACTGTTAAACTTTGCAACAAAGAGCTTATTCCAAACACCTGAGACCCTACTCAGAGAATCAAAAGCCTTAGCAAGTGGGGTTCTCTAGGGCCCCGATCCTAATCCTAGTGTTGGTCATCCGACTCGTCGTGACTCGGCGCGGCATCCAATTCTGCTTCCTCCCCCACAAACCCGCAGCCACACCTCTGTTGCTGAACCGGACACCCTCACGACCCACCAACCTCCGAAAGCCCCCGCAAACCCATCCTTGCAAAACAACAAAGAAACACTCTAGAGCCCATACACCCTAAACCCGCCTAAACCTCTAAACCCACCTCGAAGGTCGAGAAGCCCGTCTGCTCTGCCAGCGCAGCCTTCAGAGGATCCGGCAGCACGTAGACCTTCAGGGCTTTGGTTAAGGCCTTTGTGGGTTGTGGGTTTGGGGTTTACTTACAGGGTTTTGTGCTGGTTTTTGGAAGTAGTATCGGGCTTTATGATAGAAGCCTAGATTGAACAAACTAGGGGTGTGTTGATTTTCGTGCTAGAATCTACATTTGGGCGTGAGGGAAACTTGTACGATACCTACCTTTTGTAAGGGTACGGAAATCAGAATACGGTCCCCCAGGAATAGAGCTTCGGGTCTAAGGCTTATGCTCTCACAACTCCGACTCTGGCAGACGAAGTCTTGCGGTCGAAATAGCTTTAATTAAGAAGTTTAGAGGTTTCGGGTGTAATTTAGGTTCTCAGGGTTCAGATGTTGTAGGGCTTCGGGTGGAGCGTCCGGTGGGGAAGGAACATTGCTGGTGGAGGGTTTGGGGTTTAGCATCCAGGATTCGGTGTTTGAAGGCTTCAGCGTGGCTTCATTGTTTATGGATCTCAAGTCTCTAGCCTTTCTGAAACTCAGCGCTTCGGCAGTGCACATGCCGAACTCTTTCGGCTGTAGGGCGACGTTTAGGTGCACCACCTCGGGGAAAGCATTTCGAGAAACAACGTCCCCAAAACCTACAGCAGATTCCTGGGACGAGACATCGAAGAGAAGGTCGACAAAAAGAGAGCAAGAGGCGCAGACACGCCTTCCCTGCCTTTTCCACTTGGTCTAGGACCTAAAAGTTGGCCGAAGTTTAATTTAGGCCTTTTGATATATGCACCTCCGATCAGGGCATGAGAGCATGAGGCCTTTCTCGCCCCCGTCCACGATGAAAAGACACACGAAGCTCAGATCATCAACATGACACGAAAGTGTAGCACTCCGCGCTCCCTCAACAATCGCAACCACATCAACATCCGAGCCGGAACTCTCTTGCCGGTGCCTGCACCTCACCATCGGACCTCTTAGCCAGAAGGTCAGCGTCCTCCACTAACTCCCATGTGACGTCTCGGGGCTCGCCGGTTCAGAAATGCTTAGCTTGATCTCTGTGATCTGATACCCGACAGTAGAACCTGCCGCCCAAAACAGAAACGAAAGTTTCAAGCCCCTCAGCAATTGGCCTGACTGAAAATGTTCAGCAGCCTTGGTCCCACATAAGGATAGAATGAAGTTTCCGTGAGAGCAGTACTCGGGTGAGCAGTGCGAGTCTCGTGGTGGCGTCCTGGTCTTCGAGAACCTTTCCATCACAGAGTAGCTGGAGGCGGCAAACATCCACCGAGAGCCTGTTTGTGCACAGCACCCCTTGATTGAGGAGTAAACCTTATAAACTTATGTTGTTATTAGTGTTTTTTATACAAAAGCTTCATGTCATGTTGTGTTTCTGAACTACACTGGGAAGTGGAGCGGAGACGTGACAGCTACATATCTTACCAGAAGGGTGCTGGGTCTTGTGGGCACGCGTTCTGTGCTGCACTATATACCTCCTTGGGCAGGGCAAGAGTCGGTAGTGTTCAAGGTTTGGTAACAGCTACCATAGCAGTTTGGGCTTCATGTTTAGGTACAGTAGGGTTTTCGGGTACATTGTACCAGAAACAGAGAATAGTGTTACTGATTTTTCAGGCCTCCATACTACTGCTACTGTCCCTTTCTGTCTCCTTCCTGCGCGCCATGACGTGGGAAGTATGAAGGGTTTGCTGAACATCTCCAATGTCTACAGTCCCTTTACAGCATTCACAATCTGCAATCTACTGCTTGGAGGGTTAAGCTGAACGGGCGACACAGGAATCTCCACCACAACATTGATGACTCAGCCCATCCTTACCTCGTTAGCCCCCAACCCGCAACCCATATACTGCGTGACCTTGTTTATGAGGTCTTTGAATAGCCGCAAAATCTTAGTCCTAGGTTCGCTAGCCCTAACGAGGCCGGATCTGAACCCGCAAAACAGACTCGCTCAGCCTCTCCCTGAAGCTCCGGAATTTCCCGTCATTTTGATCAGGTTCCTACAAGGGAGCGTCTTTACACTGCGGATCCTACTCCTTCTTCGATGTCGGGCCTGACACCTGCCTTGCAGATCTGCCGCACCCCATCCACAAGCCCTTCTCTTCTGAACTCGAACCCTTCGGCCTTGACACCTTCCAACCCCTACTGCACATCCGAAACACCCAAAAGCCCAAACATTCCAGGTCCCATAATGCTTTGAACCAAACCCTCCTGTGCATGATGCCATGCAGGGACTAACGACTTGTAACAGAAGATAATACGGATTCTCAAGGCAAAAATATCATAATACGAGACAAAGCCTCAAAGCCCTGAATCCTCAAACCCCGCAAACCACACAATTCCCAAGCGTATAATTAAGCCATCAGAACCACAACAAAAACAGAAAAGAACAAAAAACAAAACCCTAAATCCCTTTACAACCCGTGAAACCATGCCTCTCCGCCAGCTCCTCGCGCACGTCCGCGACTGCGAGTGCTTGATCGATGGCCAGTAGCTCACCACTGATCAGTCGGAAAGTCGGAGCCATATTACATGAAGCGACTTGGGCCCAAATGAAAGAACACACTTGCACTGTACAAAACGAGAAGAATCAGAATGACACCCAAAGGGTGCCCAACATTAGATGAAGCCCTACCGACGGGTTTGGGTTTCTTGCTGTTTTCCTTTGGTTTTCCTAGATGTTCACATTGGTGTTACCGAGAGGCTTGTAGGGAGTTTGGGGGTTGACGGGAGAACGCCTCTACGGTTCAAGGTTCAAGTGGAACAACTGGAAATGCTAGACCCTAAAACGGCAGCGGTTTTTGGTTCAGGTCTTAGGGTTTCTCATTCTCTCCGCATCTCCCTGCCATGTAGTGTTTCGGGCTTACAAGCCAGCCTGGGTCGCCTGCCTGGGTATGTTCGACCATCGCCTGCCTACACGCATCCGTAACGCGTTCTCCATCTTCGGTAAACCCAGAGTCCGCTTTGTTTTGCATCTGGCCTCCCTCAGAAAGCCAGATATCTTGAACCCGAAAGCGCAACTTATAGCACCCGCATTATAAGTGCACCCCTTCTTGTAAACCCGAAGCCCTGAACCGAGGTCGCGACAGGCCAGACTCCTGCGTGCCTGCATCGTCGGACCTTGTCTCTGCCCCAAAATGGGGCTTCAGAGAACCGCAGGGTCTGGGTTTCTTTTCCCCACCCACCCAGCTGACAAAGTCGCACCGCAGGGAGTTCGTTGGATTTAGGACTCGAGTGAGGAAGATCCACGGGTCTTCACAAGCTCCGAGTTGCAGAAAGCCAGCACCAACTATCAACTAGAAAAGGAAGGGAGCTTGTAAAGTCCTCGATCTCCCGAATCTAGCAAAGACCTGAAAAAAGTCCACCCAACTATCCCGAAACGACCCATGGATGGATCCCAGGACTGGCCTAGCTAGCTTTCCAGGTCTAAGCATGTTTTGTACATTGGTTTTCGCCCCTGTTGCACCTAGGCCCCCAAGGTAACTAGTAACCTCTAAAGCTCAAGGATATGCACATAGCCATAGCATGCCTGAAAGGTCGAAGGGGTGGGGGTGCACACAGGCTTCCGAACCACGGTTACTACGCTAACTGCGGTAAATGTACAGCAGCTTCTGCCGGGGAACGTGCAAAATGCACTCGTTTCATGCATGATCCCTTATTGTCGGGAGGCCTTGAGTTACGAATCACATCGTCCACATCTTACTGTCATCTCGAGCAGTTGATGCAGCGGACCTGTACCTGTAGTGGGTCTCAGCCACGTTGCCCCTCCCGAAGGGAGGCCCTCAACTATGTCCAGGTTTCTCTAGGTTGCGTTGGCGTCATCTTTCACAGCTTCCCAGCGGGTCGACCCCTTGCTCTCATGGACGTACTCCAGAGCTGGCAAAACAGGACCCAGTGATGAGTGTCAGCCCCTTGCCTCTGCTGCAGCAGAAAAGTGAGAATGCCAATCTCTAGGGCCAAATAAGTTGTCTGCTTGCTGGGGTCCTAACCCTAAACCCTAAACCCTGCACAAAACCCGAAACTCTAGAGTAAGGCCCTCGTGCAGGGCGCACGAGTGGCTGGGGAGCCGGCATGGCCCCGACCTCTGCCGGCCTGAGCAGCACCGTGGGTTCCCAGAAAGCCCCATACCCCTTAAGGGAGGAATTAGACCTTAAATCGAGGAATGAAGAGTTAAGTTTATGGAAGGAATTTAAGCTTGAATGTTGGAGGCCTTCATATTAGTCATATTAGATCCTGACAGTCGGTATCCCGAACTATATGACATTGGGCTCTCTTGGGTTTGCAGGAATGCGAGCTTCGGGGAGCTTGCTTGCACACTCTCCGTGCGCATTTCGAAGACAACTTTAACAATCACCAATCACCAAAGATACGCAAACAATCAAGCCCAGATTACTTGGCCGCTTCTCGAGCTCAGCGAACGCCTGCCAAGCCGAACAGAGCAAACCTGATTAAGGGGATGGTAATACTAGCAGCTGTTGCTGTTGCTGTGGCTATTGCTGTTACCTTTGCCGTGGCTGCGGCTCTGGCTGTGGCAGTGGCTGTTGCTGTTGCTGTGGCTGTGGCTGTTGCTTTGCTGTTGCTGTTGTTGTTGCTGTGGTCGTTATTTTTGTTGTTGCTGCTGCTGCTGCTGCTGCTGCTGCTGTTGCTGTTGCTGTTGCTGTTGCTGTTGCTTGGCTGTGGCCATGGCTGGGGGCAGTTGCTGTTGCTGTGGCTGTTGCTGTTGTTGTTGTTGTTATTGTTGTTGTTGCTGCTGCTGTTGCTGCGGCTCAGGCTGTGGTTGTGGCTGCTGATGTGGCTGTTGCAGTGGCTGTTGCTGGTGGCTGTGGCTGTGGCTGTGGCTGTGGCTGCGGCTGTGGCTGTGGCTATGGCTGTTGCTGTTGTTGTTGCAGCCGCCGCCGCTGCTGCGGAGGCCACGACTACGACTGCTGTTTCCTCCCCAAAGAATGTTACGAGGGAAGCACTCATCAGGAAGATCCAATAAGGCCATTAGTAGTCGTAGCCCTAGTGATAATGGCAAGAACCGATAGATGTGCACGAACCAAAAATACGATCAACAGCTGGGCAGAAAAGCCAGCGAGATACAAGAAGAATTGGATATGCTGACACGAAGAGGAACAAGAGTGATACTAGCAATCGAAACTGCGAGCCCGCAAATCTCTCTCCCACTCCCATTCCTACGCCTACTCCTACACATACACCTACACCTCCTCCTCCTCCGCCTCCTGCTCCTCTTCCTTCTATGTTCTGAGCTTCGGCGTAATCACCATCAGCTTCACCAAAATCTCCACGGTCATAAACACCATCGCTGCCCGGGCCGTGATAAGTGTCATCACAACATGCTGGCCAGCCCTTCGAGAGCGACGGAGCCAGCACCTTCCCAGCAACCCTTTGCCTTTTTACGAGGTTTGGTCAGCTTCTCGTTTGCATTAGCATGGCATATTTTCCTCACCGGTTTTCGGTGTGAAGCTATGCCCGTCGTCCATCACTTTGGGGGACGTGACGTAACCCAAAGCCGGTAAGTTCAAGACATCTGCAAGCTCAGCTTTCCAAGCAAGGTTGAAGGCCCTGCTGCTTAAGTTCTTCGATGGAGGGCTAGGATTGTCTAGCGCGCTGCTCTTCAGACGTGCCCTCTCGGCCGGTAAAGAGAATCATTATCGAAGCAAGCCTGCGCAGCAAAGGGAATCAGAGGGATCTTTCCCTTCTCAACACCGCGGGGCCTGCACTACGTCATGCCTGGACGGCGTCCTACTGCTTGAAATGTTGGCATGTAAGACTTACGGTGACTACAGACTCAGGATTCGCAACCATCTCCCAAGCCCTACCGAAGGGGATACGCCCCAAGACCCCAAGCTCCGTTAAGAACCCCTCCTCTTGTGTCGCCTGCGTGCCAGACCCACCCTCACTCCTGTCCCGAGCCAACAGAAGCCTACAAACGAAGATAACAAACAACAACGAGCGAGTCGCAAGCGCAAACACCATCACTAACAACGAAATGTCACAACCAACAGGACTCACGACATCAAAGGGGAGAAGATGAAGAAGCAGAAGAAGAATAGCAAAAAAAGCAATAACAAAAATACTAACTTTTTTGCATCCAGGACTCTGTTCGCCAAAAATACTAACTAATGATAGCAACCCAAAAAGATAGTAGGCAATGGTAACAATAAAAATTAAAATGATAATAATAATCATCATCATCCTCATAATAATAAGAAGAAGAAGAATAGTAATAATAACAATAAAAATAAAAAAAAAATATTAAAAATAATAATAATAATAATAGACAGCAGCAACAGCAACGACAACGACAACGACAGCGACGAGAACAACAATAACAACTACAAGAAGAACAACAACAAAAACCAGAACCAGAACAATAACATGAACAACGACAACAACAACAACAACAGCAAAAAGAAGAAGAAGAAGCAGCACCGCCACCACCAGCAGTCAAACCCAACTCATCCCGATCACTTTCTACCCCCCCCGGCTCCCCGAGAGCCTCCACGCCAAAGGCACCCAAGGCCCGGCCCCCACCGGCGCTTCGAGGCTTCCGCACCGAGGCCGCGGGTTCCAGGGAGCTCCTCTAGCTAGGGTAATACTACATTGATACCGTAAGGTACTACGAGAATACTACAAACGAATTATGACTATTATAATGCTAGGGTCGTACTTGATACTACTTGTATAAGAGTTACCGTTAAGGGCTACTTAAAGGGTTTCTATAAGTGGGTACTAAACGGATTTCCGGGTTTTGGGCTTGGGTGGGCTTTAGTTTTTTTGCGCTCAACTGCTGGTGGGGAAGCTGCTTAAAGGCGTCGCGAGGTCGGGATTTTGTGGCTTTAGGGTTTGAGGGTTGGCATTCTGATTAGGGGCTATCCTTAGTCCGTGTAGAAGCTATACGGTGCTTGCTCTTGTTCTTGTCTCGACTCCAGGTGCGAATAGCACGTGCAGCCAAGATTCCCAAGCTTCTCCTTCTCCTCGAGAGTTGCCGCGCGGAGGGCGGAGGCCCTGAGGCGGGCCTTCTCTTGGAGTAGGCCGTGGCACTTCGCGATGGTCTGCCTCGTTCGGGGCTTGTGAGGTCTAGGAGTTTGGGCTCTGGGCTTCGGGGTAGAGCTGGTTAGTTTGAGGTTTCGGCTTCTGCCGAGTTCCAGTGAGACCTAAATCAGTCGGTCACTTTTTCTTCAATAAGAGATCCGAAACTGAGTCGCTGAACACTACTCTGAGAGCAGGTAAGTAAGGCGCGTCGAGGGCTCGTAGATAGATACGAGAGCCACGACTGAAGGCGGTTTATCGTCGTGCGACATATTGTGCTCCAGACCACTGTCACTGCTAAAGCAGGTTTCGGGATGACGGTATGGATAAACCGCACATCAGTCGAAAAAACTCTGCAAAGGTGACATGACCAAGTGAATTCGCATGCCCCGGAGCTGACCAATATGTTTCACAGGACTTCAGCTCAAATCTGGCATGGGCGAGAGAGGGGTGATGGCGGATTCGCAATCAACATCCTTGTACTTAATTTGACCCAGAACAAACCTTCTCGTCACCGTTTCTTGCATCGCTTGAGAATCCGCAGAAAGCACTGGCCAACTGATGTTGGCAAAAAGGGTCCATGCTTCAAGAATTCCACAACACCTCCAGCTGGGACCACTGGCTTGCAGTTCCAAGCGGAGTTGCGCTAATTACCCCCAGAACCAGAAGACTTAGCAGCTTTCTTCCCTGGCATCTATGTCTTCCCTGATATTTCCTTGCCCTTATGATATTCAATAAACTCTTGTCAAGGCCTACAACAACACCCCTATGAAACCCGCTGACTCTAAGCGAAAAGCCTTTCAAAACCCTCAGACCCAAAGTAAAAGTCCGACTGCACCCAAAAGCCCTATAACCCCTCAAACCCTACTAAGGCTTCCGGGTCCAGGCCCTGCGCCTTCTCAAGGGGCACTCAGATTTCCTCAGCGAACCTTGCCGACTTCACGTGCGCGGGCAGCCTCCGGTTCGGGTTTACGAACGATTTTGGTTTTTTCTTGGAGCGCAGGCATCTGGGAACAAGGGGTCTTTTTTTGGCCTCCCACCTGGCTAGGACGAGCCCGCATTGCAGGGTGCACGCTCTGTGGGGTTTTGAGCTTCATTCTCCCTTTTTGCTGGGGGTCATATCTGACCTCGGGCTGGAAGCTTAGGGGGCTTCCTGTCCACGCAGCCTTCGCATCATCTTCGTAGAGCGGCCAGTCCAGATCCTGGGCTCTGAAGACCCCAAGGCTTCTAAAGGAAGAGTGCAAATTTCGGCGTAGGGTTTAGGGTCTATATTTTAGGCTATAAGAAGACTGCAAGTTTGCCTCTTCAGATTGGCTCCGACATGAAACCAAACACCGTCTCACGAAATAAATCCAAAGTAGAGAATGTTTGTATTTCCGTGTGTGCATGTATGTAACAATGGATGGGCCAATGGATCGTCTAACAAAACCATAGAAGTCACCCCACTCCCGAATCCCGAGCCCTGGCAAGAAACCCTAACAATGAGAACCCAGGAGCTGGGTCCATGCAGGTGACATCCTCGGGAGTCGGAAGCTTCTCGTCCGGAAACTCATCGAAGTTCGAGGCGTCCGCCGCACTTTTGCCTTTCAGGGGTCTTCTGGGCTGATTGCAAAGCCTGCGGCTTGCTCATGCTGTTTGTTGGCTTTGAATCTTTGAGTGTTTCAGCAGAGACAGTCTATGTTCTGCAAAGTAGGTCCCAGGTGCATGTCGGCTGGTATGGTGGCGTCATCTCCTGGAGTCGGTTGAAATCCAGGCCCTCAAAGAAGTCGTCGAGCTTGCATTCGAAGGTGGTGATGCGCCGCTCCACAGGGCAGAGAACCTTGGAGACGAACTGCGAAGCGTGAAGGCAATCCTGGGGACTTGCTCCCAGGTCCCTCTGCTTCTTCTGCATCCGAGCCAGACGTGTCGGCAAGTTGGACTCGTGATGCTGAATTTGGCTTCGTAGCTCCTGGAAGGCCCGTCGCCGATCCCGGCTTTGGGTGTAGAAGGGCAAGCTTCCCGAAAGGCATTCGAAGGTGATGACCCCCAGAGCCCACAAATCTGAGGCTGCACAGGCCCGGCCAATGAACATCTCAGGTGCCATGTACTGCGGTGTCCCACAGGCCGTCCGAAGGCCTTCCCTGCCGGGTCTCTCCTGGAAGGTGATTCCCTGGTATCTCTGGTCCTCTTCCGCTTGCGCCACCTGGTCTGCTGAGCTGCCATAGAGAGGGATGTATAGCATGGGGTAACAGACCGGATAAAGACATTCTATGCTTTGCTTGTGGTGTTCACCTAAACTGAACTCCCTAGCAAGAACCCAGCCACGTACTCATCCAGGTCCACGGGCGTGCAGAGGCCGAAATCCAGCAGCTTCAGGTGCCCTTGGGCAGTCAGGACCAGATTATCTGGTTTCAGGTCCCGGTGGATGAAGCCACACTGGTGGATGGCATTGATGGCGCTGATGAGCTCTGCCATGTAGAACCGGGTCTCCACCATGCTTAGCTTGTCCTTCTTCTCCATGTATGCGAAGAAGTCCCCTCCTTGAACAAACTCCATGACGATGTAGATGTGCTCCGAATCTTGGAAGGTGCAGAGGAGGTCTACAAACCAAGTACCCCAGCCGCGTGCAAGAGCATCCCGCTCATTGTAGGCCTTCTTGCGGTTCTTGTTGAGATAATGGGCTTTCTGGATCTGCTTCAAGGCATACACCTCTTCCTGAGAAACGGTTTACGCTCTCACAACTCGGACAAGCCAGGCGAGAGAAACGGTTTAGGGTTTCGGGTTAGACCAGCCAGTAGAGCAACGAATTGTGTGCTGCTAATCAACCCCAGAATCATGCATCAAAACCGAAAGCAATACCAGCAATACTAAGGAGAAGAATAGCACTCTAATACTCCTCATATGCAGCACTGAAAACAAAATCAAAGCTTAGAGATTCGGAGTTTAGGCTTCTCATCCTGCTCCGCTAGAGCCGAGCTTCCGTACCCTGCCTTTGGACAAGGTGCACCACCTTAGCACTGCTGTTTCCGGAAGACTCCACGAGGGATCCCTACAATCCCTGCAATCTATATAGTTGGGCTAGCATTTTCCTCGGCAGCACTCTGGGATTACATGAAAAGCGCACTAAGTGCACCACTCCGAAAGCTCCCTTCCCAAGCACGCGAAGGGAGGAGAAGTCCTTGATTGACCACCTCAGGGTTTCGTGTAGGGTTCAAGGATTTCTGATACTCACACTCGGACAAGCCTATACTGGTCTAACGACTCACTAACCACCTACTCGGCCCGTATCACCCAGCAGGGTGCGCTGTCAGGGAGGGCTTGGAAGACGACACCCACAGCTCAACAACAGCTAAGATGAAGCCCATCTGACAGCAGCATTCTACTGACGGATAGGGGGTTAGCGTTAGTGGTTTCCGAGAGCCCAACTTGCCCCTTGACACTAATGATCATGGGGTTTTATGCTGCATTATTAATATACTGGTTTTTATAGTAAGGTTTCAACATAAGGTAATGAAGCAGTATGCCTTGACAAATACTATGCTTCTTACCAGGATTTGTAGCATGCTGCTGCTCAATTACAGGGTGCTGGCTTGGGCGCATTGAACTCAAAGTGTTGTGATTCCTGCATTGCTACACAACAAGCTGCTTGCACTTCGCAGGTATGCAAAGAACAAACGCACCTTGCACCCCACTGGTACTCGCAGGCCTACACAGAACCATCAAAACCTGGAACTCTCCGGAAGTCTCTCGCGAATACTGGGGCTCAAGGAACTCATGACGCAGAAGCACATGTCAAAGGGTTCGCACTGCATTGAAGCAGTGCTGGAGAAAAAAGCTTATTAGGGGTTAGGGCAGCTTAGGGTTTAGTATTGGTCTTTTTGGTGTCACAGCCTCCTCAAGTACGCACCTTGCCGATCCTTCTTTGCCTCGATCTCGTCCAACCTTGCCCGTGTCCAATCCGAAGGTGTCTCATATCCCGCTCGCTGCTCGCGAGCGTTCGCACGGAACACCTTCTCGGCTCGAATCTCGTCCTGGCGCTGCTCATCAAGGCCCGCCTTTAGCTGCCTGTGTCTGTCGAAGAACTTCTTCCTGGCTTCCTTTTCCTGCTCTTGGACGTCCTGGCATGTGAACATACTTGAGAAAGACGACAAGAACGACCACCACCAGCACGACTACTACCTCTGCTGCGATCACTACTATTCCTAGTCCTAGAGCTACTGCTCCTCCTGCTTTTGCTGCCCCTCCTCCTCCTGCTCCTGCTCCTGCCCTCGTCTCGCGCCTGCCCCGGCCCCTGCCAATACTCCTGTCCCCACTCCTACCCCTGCGCCTACACCGGCGCCTACACCTACACTCCTACTCCTACAGCTGCTTGCTGAAACCATGTTTGGTTGTGCTGCTACGGCATTTAAGATGACGGGCTTGTGGCTTGGCTCCTGGGGGCTTGCATCTGCACGGCCGGGAATGGGCAGGGACGATGGATTCGACATCGGAGTCGTCGGAGAGGCGGAAGATGCGAAGACAAAGAATTTGGATGGGGCTTCGGAGCCAAACGGCTGCAGTAACAACAACAGCGATGACGATGATGGCCGTGACCAGTGATAACGATACAAACCCATAGATAACGTAATACTAGTGCTAGTAATGCAATAAATTCTAGATTCTAAAGTCTAGTTACACTAATACACAGTTGTGAAAATGAAAATAAATAATTTTGATATCGACAGGGACCGCTGTGGCAGCTGCAAACACAGATGCCAGTACAGGCCAGTACCGCACGCCCAACGATCCTCGAACAGGAGACTCTGCTTTGTTTGGAGCCCACCTGAGTTTGGCGGCGGCAGCTGCCTGGCAGGCCGCACGGTAGCGCTGCAGAGCTTGGGTGTGGAGCTGCCGCACCTGGTTTAGGCTTCAGGGTGTTGTAGGGTGACACAACCTTTAGGCGTGAGGGTTAGGATTTAGACTCTAGCAACTCGGGCAATCCAGGCGGCATGCTTGCCGACGCTACGGCTGCTGTTTACCAAAAACCACAGGCTGGGTTGCAATTGTAGCGGTTGTTTTTCAAAGCCGCCACCTGCTGGAGGAGCGACTTGGCCACCGCCTTGGCACCCCGCTGCCGCAGCGCCGTGCGTGCCGATGGGGGCAGCGTGCCGGTCTGCAGGAGGGCGCGGCAAACTGACGGGCCGAAGGGATCCGAGTCCGTGGCCTCCTTGAAGGTACCCAGCCCAGCTCGACCCGGTATACTTCTTGTAACTATAATTGTAGGTACCTACTACTCGCGGGAACCAAGGCAGGTACTTGTATGTAAATCCATACTTGGTCCTTCCTTCAAACCGCATCTTCGCGGTTTTCAACTGTCCTGGAGGTGGCAGCGCGGTGAGTCGAAGCCTTGCGACGAGGTCAGAGAGGCTGCGCTCGCCCCGGCTTCCACAGGGCTCGCTTTCCTGGACTCTTCAGCGGCCCCCGACATAGTTGTGAGTAGGCATGTCTCGACTATAGGATGACTTTCAAGAGCTAGGTACCCTTCGATTTGGAAGGTCATAATAAGCGAGGCTTAACAGAATCCCAAGTTGCCAACTGAGTTTCAGGGGCCGTACCGACAGGAGATCTTCAATGAGCTGGGAGACGCAGTGGCTTTGAAGCTGCTCCGCATCTGGCAGCCGGTGTCCAGCTGCCTCTTGGAACTTCCTGGGTTCTTGCCGGGGGACTTGATCGAGTTTAAGCTATCATGATAAGGATATATAGTGGGCATAGCAGAAAACATGCATTCCTTCTATGCTCATAAGATCGAATTCAACACAATCCCAATAACATGAACTCAGCTTCAGGTGAGTGCGCCAGCGTGCATTGTCGGCCAATAGGCGGCTGATCTCGGCCTCCTGCCACAGCAGCACCTGAACCCAGTGGGTCTCCGCCGCCTTCGGCATCTCAAGAGTCGCACGTCGCAGGCCCTCTTCCACCGCGGGTAGCCCCGAGTAGCCAAGCCACTGAGAGAGGCCTAGATCCAAAGCTCTCACTGCATCGGGATAGTCTTCCCAGAAGCTCTCATGTCTCATCTGCAAGTCACCCACGCGAACCCAGGCAGCACGGAAGTTCTCCATGGCCCGGGCTTGTTCTTGCAGGCTTTCTCTTCCCTCCTCGATTCCTCGCGGGGATGGGCTCCGCTCCGCCGACATCCTTCTGACTCCCTGGGCTCCCTCGACGGCCCTGCGTGGCGTGGCCTGGGCCTGTGGCGCCTGCACCAGCTCCGCACGTCTGCGGTGCAGCTCTGCATAGGGGCTGGAGTTCTTGTGCGAATCGGACAATTGGCTCGGGGTGGTCGGCGGATTGAACTCCAAAAGCCTCCTGTGAGCCGCAGGCGACAGTGGCGGTGGGGAACCGAAGTTGTAACTTGGCCTAGACCGCAGCACCGGGGAGGGCCCAGCCCCAACCCCTGGCCCAAGTCCAGCAGATTCGGCTGGGAGACTCGGTGAGCACTGCTCGGGTGATCGGTAGGAAGGAGGGGGGCTCAGCCCGGTCCTTCGAAGATGTTGGGGTGGGGTGGCAGGGGTGGCAGGGGTGGAGGGCGAAGGTGAAAGCATGACTTTGGCTCCTCGCGACAAGCCTGGCGAGGAGGCTGTCGGTGACAAGCTCAGAGCTGTAGGCTTTTGGCGCAAGGTTGTGGGCGCCTGCTCCACCTGATTTCTTGGCGAGGGTTTGCGGAGTGTCGAGACCCAGGACGGTTCATGCAACTGAGTTTGCGGTAGAGCCGGAAACGTTCCGACCTTCCGCTCCCCATTCTTTCCCTTAGATTTGGGCGATATGGGCCTCGCTGGCGGCTCACTGGGCTCGAGGCTGCAGGTCGGCAAGCTGGCGCTTGCCTCAGGAGACGTGGGCCGTGGGAGGCGGGCAGCACTCAGCTCTGTCGTCGACTGGGCTGCCGTCGGGGACTTGGGAGATGCGGTCTCGCTCTCAAGCAGAGGCACGGTGCTGGTCAGCGAGGCGACCTCCGTTGCCAGAGCTTGCTCTGTCTCTTCTGGGACGGCCTCCGATGCTTCCCTGCCACCACGGCCTTCTTTCAGGAATTCTAAAGCTTTCGTCCAGGAACTCACTCCGTCCATGGCTTCAACTAATCCGCATCAACACGAAAAGAGTCGTCGACGAAAGATGTTTGGCCGTGCTCGGTCCAGGCGGGAGGGATGGAACTTCGCCATCTTCTCGATGCTTCTCAGCTTGTTCTTGCTTCTGTGGCCTAGAATCTCTTGTGCTGCGAAGGTGTGCCGAATGGGCTTCGTGCAAGCAGCCGTTGCAACACTGAGTAAGTTGTTCCAGTAAGACTTGCAGATCCCAAGCAGTGCCCTTCCCCCAATATTGAACGTGACATCCTGAACCTGAAAGCTTGGAGGAGAGGTGCCGGGTCTCGGGATTACAGACGCTGGAACAAAGGGGATGTGACTGCGTGGCGCTTCTGTGTACTTTTTGGGCAAGCTAGAGCTGCGGGCACTCCGTCGACGATCGCGCTTTAACAGGGTGCATATGAGCATACGTGGACATGGGATGATAGCCTCATGTCGTCTAAGCATGGCGACACTAGCGAACCAACAGTCGGTGCCTCTACGCCCCAAAAGCCTGAACCTGTGTCAACAGTCATGACCATACAGGGACGAATCAGCAACACTGACTTAACAAGGCATTGATCACTACTACGACTAAGTGACTAACGACGCTGAGCATAAGACTCCCTGTCGTAATCACACACATAACAATAGCTATCGTGATGTCAACCATGCTTTGCCAGATCCCGATCTCATCCCCACGTCCCACCCCCCGAGCCATCTCAGAAACAAAGGATCACAACCTAGGCCCTCAGAAACATCATGGTCTTTAGGAGGACCCCTAACAAAGGGGCCCCCTGTTTGCAGAAGCCGTTGCATCTGAGCCCCAGACTCCGCCTCGGCGCCTTCCTGCGTACCTCAGGTGAGGCTCGTCGCATCTATAGGGTTGAGCCCTCAGACCGGACGTTGCGCCGCAGAACAGGACATGCAGACAACCCCGTGTTTGCCGCGCGATGCTGCAGATTAGGCCGCCGCAAGCGCCTCCGTAATGTAGTGCGGCCATGAGAACGTCCACACAGACTTCATCCAGTTGCCACAGAGCATCGATATCCATCCATGTCCCAAGCATGATAACGTCTACAAGACTCCATCCGTTCCCACACAGCATCCATGTCCTAACCATGCTAACGTCCACACACAGACCATCCCTTCCCAACCATGATAACGTCCACACAGACTCCAACATAAGAGATTCTGTGAGCCGTCGCAAAGACTATTTATACGGTATTTACGAGGGATCTCTACTTCTCAACATACTTGGTCTTACGGGAGCGTGGCAAGACACACGTTCGGAGCGTTTAGGACTCAGGGAGTGAGTCGGGTGCAGGGTCTTGTAGAAGATCAGATTCCAGGAATACTTGTTTTGTGAGCTTTTTCGTGGATTGAGCGGGACAGGCGGAGGCCGTACTTCACACATTCCAACATTCCCTCTAGAGATTTTCTCTATGGCCAATATACGGTTTTGTAACTGTTGCTTTATGGTTAGGGCAGGGGCTGCAAGGGGCCGGGGAGGACGTGGGCACAGTGAAGTCCAGAAATCCCAATATTTCCTAGGGAAGTTGTGTGTTTCTGAACAGGCTTGTGTCTGCAAGCCCCCTCTGCAGAAAGCAACACAATCATAGTCTAATGCATGGAAGGACTAGGAAAAACATGCAAAGAACCATTAACGGAGAGAGTGACTAAATCATCAAACCATAAACCGTCTATGAAAATAACTACCAGTGCAAAATGGCGCAAAGCTCTTTGCCAGGGTTGGTCTTCGCAAGTTTAGAGGTTCCGGGTGTCAAGGTTCGCGGTCTCACAACTTGGGTCCAGCCAGGTGAGGTCTCTCGGTTCGCAGTCGGCTTGCAGACAGCCCCAAAGATGAACGTTTTAAAGGTGCCCAGTATCACCATGCAGCAGGCTTGGGACTTTCCAGCTCCAGGGCTTCAGGGTTCACGGTGCAGGACTTTACAACGCCGTTTAAGCCCAAGCTGGTCCAACTGCGACGAAGTCGCTCCCTGCCTGTCCATCCTCACCGTGACGTCCCGCGGCATCACCTGGATGTCAAGGAATAAAGTACCAGAGAGACAGATATCTCTTAACTAGCAAAACCTCACGCTGGATCAAGCAATTATCGTTAATGATTGACTTGTAGCCGAGAGAATCCTGGTCTTGGTTTGAACTCGACATAAGCCGATGCTGCAAATGCAAAACAAATCGAGCCTCTAAGACTCTAAGCTTCACTCAAAATGATATGTTGCTCTGGTTTTACGGAGGTTGTACGCAGGTGCGATAAACCCTAGACACCTCGAAAATCCCCAAGCTTCCTCGCCCGTTTTCCTTCTCCTGCTCCCCCTGCCTTGTCACAACTTCCAGCCAACCCTAGAGCTCAACCAATGCAAACCCTGTAGCCCAAATCGGCAAACTAGAAACCTGCAGCCCGAATTCCCTTTTGCAGGGGAGCTCCCTCTGCCCATTTTGCATCACTCGGGCAATCGCCTGATGGTCTGAGCATACAGAGGTAGTGCCCGAAATCCCTAGAGCCTGCAACTCCTGCCTCTCTCAACCCTGGATCCGGAACGCACAGAGATAACAGCTGCTGAGTTGAACACAAGCGCCACCGCCCTCGTCGTCCTTCCCATCCCCATCCTGGAAGAAGCCAGGTCTTCATAGGGGGTTGTGTCAGTGGGGCAAGCGTTTAGACCGCTGGACTGTAGGAGACTAGTAACCGTCGTTTTCGCAATAGTCGTCTTGGTGGTACTAGTAGTCGTCGTGAGTGCTGCTTGTACAGCCACTACGTAATACCATAGCAGCTTACACAAGCAATCGTTATCATGGTCATCGGCGCAGCAACTGTGGTACAGGTGCTGGCGAAGGTCACGATGCACGAAATAGCCTCAAGGGAACAGCCGGTCCTGCATGCCGTCTTCGCTTTGAAGGCCATCCCGGAGAGGACGGCGTTCGCCCTGAGAACATTGTCCCATGTCACAGAGGCCCGGACCTCTGAACCACCCAGCACCAAACCCTGAAGCCGCTTACTGGAACCTCTCTGGACCTTTGGCTGCAGGCTTGCATGCACGCCTGGTATGTAGCTACTCTTCCGGCTAGCACTGTGCTCGTGACAGCGCCCCCAGCTTCGGACCAAAAACCTCAACACCCCCCAAGCCCTATGAGTATCGTCTGCTTTCAAGCCAAACACGAATATCGAAACCCCAAACCAGCGTAAGCCCTCGCCAGGTTAGGACTTGGGGCTTGACTCTGATCGTATTCTGCTTCTTATGACTCCTTCGCTTCGCAGCTTCTGCCGTTGTTGGCTGAAGTCCGGAGGCTGGGCTGAAGGAAGCACGCCTCCTCCCCATCGCCATCAAGCGACCTGTCATGCTTAGGGCGGTACGCAACATGCCATGTCCGGGAAGACTTTTCTTGCATGCTGAATACCTGCGGAGACTACAGCTGAACCCTAACCGGGAAACCCAGTCACCAGTCCCTCTCTCATGATATGGACCCAAAAGTTACGCTCCAAACTGCAAGCCGAAGCTCCCGTCACCGTCCTTCCCCCAAAAATCGTTCGCAAAACTCAGCGCGGTTGAAGGCTCCCAGTTTTTAATCCATCCCCAAACCCCTGTATGGAACGACCTCACCCTTTTGCAACCGGCATGCTGCGAAGCTCTAAACCCTACATCCTGAAACCCCTCTGGTCCTAAGCCCTAAAACCCTAAACCCGCAATCCAAGAAGCTTGCTTTTCACCTACAACCTGCAAAAGCCGAAATCGGTCGTCGAATTTTGGGGCCCATCTCCCAGGTCGTTCTTCAACCCGGGATCTCCATAAAGTGGAGAGGCCCCTGTGGAACCTAAGAGCTAATTAAGGCTGATGTCGGGTTTCGGGTTTGGGGTTGAGGGCTAAGGGTTGAGGGCTTAAGAAAACAATAGACTTCGGAGATAATTAGAAGAAGGCGTGTAGCGGTGCGTAGCACACCTCACGCCGTCCACTCAGGCGGCCGTGCCACCGTGCCCACCGCCAGCTCATCGCCAAAGGCCACGGCAAAGCCACCAGGATGGATCCCTAAGACTTTAATATCCCATTCAGGTCTCCGACCGGTACAGGACTCCACAACTGTGCAGAGATATTCTGCCCGGCCGGCTGCGGGACTGTATCGATGCAGCGTGAGGGGCGAGGGCCTGGTATTCATGTCAGAGCAGATGGCATAGATGCTCCCATCCAAGAACCGGAAGTCGTCAACAGGGCCGGGCAGATGGATAGCTGGAACCAGGGCCGCTGCGTATCTGAAGTCCACCATGCTGATGAGACCTTGGGGACCTCAGGGTGTCTCCGAAAGTTAAGAGTCTCCTGGTTTCAGGGATGCCTCTAAGGCCCGACAACCCTCACCACCAGAAGCCCAAACCCTGTACAGATCCCTATACCCAGAAACCCCGATTGAAATCTCCGCAAAAGTTCTCAGAAATCCCACCTGCAAGACTCGAGGACTCTGGAGCCAGACCGCAAAACACCTGAGGGAAGCGTCCAGCCCGCAAAGGCCACAGAACCATGCCGGTGCCTCTCAGGGCTTCGGAGTGTGCATGGGCCTCTTCTCCCTGTGAAGCTTTCACGGTGGTTTTGGGTGTAGGCCTTCTCGGATTAGGGCTTGGAGTGTAAGATCCATGGTTTCGCGGTTCGACTCAGACAACTTGAACAATCCAGGCGAGGCGTCTGAGTTCGTCGGGTGAACAGTCGAGCCGCTACAGTGAGCAGCGTTGAACGACAACATCCCCCAGCACGGGGTTTAGGGTTTGCCTCGTGGCTTTATTTAGGGTTACGCTCTCGCAGATTACGATGGGCTTAGGGCCCAAGGGACCTTCAGAATCCGGAGGGTGTAGGACTACAGTGCTCAGGGCTGAACGGTTGTGAAGATCTCGAGGGTGTAAGCTGTCAGGCGCTACAACGCTCAAAAATGCTTGGGATAATCTGTCTAATACCAATCATCTAAGTGCTAAGCTCATGCATCCCAGGCATCAGCATCGTCATCGTCATGTCATGCTCATCATCACTCCCTCGCCATCAGCAGCAGCAGTCGCAGCAGCAGCCCCGCAGCATCATCATATCTGTAATTGTAATTCCTAGCTGCAAGAAATACATATCAGCAAGAAGATACCACTGAACATGACAAGGCTGGGGCTAGCTAATGCAAGAACATGTCTCGCATCAGTCACCTACATCACTTTAACATACCCACTGTGGTTGCACCCGGGCCCCCTGGTCCAAGAAAATCCTGAGAAAATCCTTCAGCCGGGCCCTCATCGGTCACGGGAACATCCAGCACACAGGGATCGCTACGCCGGAAGTCGAAGAGCATGGCGGAAAAGCCAGTTGTCAGGGGATGCTCTCCAACCATGGGGACCTCAAGGCTCTTTCTCGGCTTCAGCAAGTCACAACTCCGAACAACACCTTATCCGGAGACCTCACCGTTTCAAAGGGTGTTGGTTCAGGGTATCGACGACTCCACGCTGACCTGGTGTAAGGAGCAGCCACCATCGAAGCCGTCCACAGCATGTAGGAACTTCCCTCTGGAAGCCCGGCTTCCGCCCTCGACAACGGATTGCCCCGCGTGCTCCAGGTCGATGATGTCCAAACCCGAGGGTACGCGATTCCGCCGCGTCTTCAGGGCGAGGACCTTGCCATCCGTGGTGATGCGAAGATCATTCACCTCACATGGGCTCTAGGGCCCCAACAACAAAGCAAAACACATGTAAATCCATACCATGAACAATCCAGTGCAACATGACAGCAATAACATCGACAAGAAGAAATAGTAAATCGAAATGATAGGAATATGAAGAAGAAGACCGCACCTTTTCGTGGCAGGCGAACTGCTGCACCAAAGAATACTCGTCCTTCTCGGCGCGCAGCCTTTTGACAGGGTCTCATGGGTTTTGAATGGCTTATGAAGATTTGTGAGAAATCCATGGCTCTTGTGCAAGGACGTTCTGGGGTTTAGCAGGGGGTGGGGCTTCTCAAGGACTCATTATGCTGCCTAATCCTAATGCATGTAATACGTTTGTAACTTTGAAATTAGCTGCCAGGATCCTAACCGTCGGGTACTCAACGACGAGTGGTATGGAAGAAGCCATTGACCAGTTGCTTCCGTCCTCACAACGTTGTGGCAATCGCTCCGGCCCGTTTGGTGAGAGCCTCTGACGACTCGAGCCCTTGACCACAAAAGCTTTCTGGACTTCTGGATTGAACCCCCCCGGATCTCCCCCACTGTATGAAGTCCGATACATAGTCGCTAAATTCCTTGGTAGCCCCGAGGTAGCTTCAGCTTTATTCGCCCGGCAAACCCTACACTAATTCTTCCAAAACCCTTTCTAAAGGTTATTGAAACTGGTACGAACCTGCAGAACCCAAGCTACGAAGATGAACTTCTCACGCAAAAGCGTCCCGAAGAGGTTTCTCCAAACCAAAAGCCCTGAACGAATCCCTCGAACCTGGAGTCTACAATCGCTTCGCAACCGCACCTTCCCCAAATTGCATTAGGAAGCCTAAATGAGAAACCCTTGGTGAGCCTTCCTTAAGAGACAGTGAGGTCGCCTGAACATTTGTTGATCCCTCTTTCTGGGCCTTGATATTCGGATCCCAGTTTGGCGTCTACAGTCATTCCTATAGGGCCCTAAGAAAGACAGCATAAAGCCCTATGCCGCGACTGGCATCACTGTGAGCTGAGCCCCCCTGCGTGCCACGCTTGTAGACCCTCACGTTACCGTCGTCGCTGCCCGCGCACACGAGGCCTGTCATGGCCGTAGGTCCATGCCGGAAAACCCACTTACATAGTTCATTCAGGGTTCTTGCAGGATTCTTATAGGCTGCTTTTACTGAGGCTTTATGGCGCATTTGACTAGAGCTTAGAGAATGTACCTTCAATTGTGTGGGGGTGCTTCTTGTCTTGTCGGGTATGGTCTTTAAGCACCTCAGGCCCTCAGGCCCATACTCTGGACATCTTTTTCTAATTCCCCTTTATTTTTTCTACTAATGACAAGCATGTGAACATTATTCCAAGGAAAACCCCGTAATGCTTAAGTATTGGGGCAGTCTAGGGGCCCTGGGCGACTAGCGTTCTGGGACACATTGTAGCATGATTACATTTGTGGCTTTAGGTGTTGGTCAAAAAATTGTTCAACCAAAAATTTATGTTTTATGATTTCGATATGGTTTCAATATGGTTGGCCCTTTATGAGGCTGGAAAGTGGCTCCTGGCAGGCTATGATTCCACTATGATTTCACTATGATTCCGCTATGATTCCGCTATGATTCCACTATGATTTCACTATGATTTCTCTTTGACTCCCAATTTAACTCCCAGTCTAATAAACACAATTTTAATGTAATCGTCAGGGTCCCTCCAGGTCTCGGGCCTTGCGTCCTAGGGAACCCTAAGCCCCAAACTCGGTTTGGGGCTCGGGCATGCAGAGCCTCACGGAGGGCTCCGAGATTTCGGGAGGTTCGGCCATGTTCTCAGACTCGGACTTGGAGGGTTCGCGTGGCCCGAATCTGTGGGAATCGCATTTAACCCACGCCTTGCAACCCATGCGGCTCCAACACTTTCCCACGAGGCGCACCTAGTACTCACAAGAAGCAAAAACAGAGAAGGTCATGTCAACCACTGGGTCCAATATGCTACAATGGCTTGGCTAGCGACGCTGATACTGAGACCTTTGCCCTGTCCATGTAACCACCAGCATGCTCACGGTCATCGTCGGAAACTATGACCACCCTACAGATACTAGTGATGACATCGTGGCACTCAAACTGTCTGCACATAGACCACACTGGCCTCTAGCGACATCGCAGCAGTTGATGTTGGAGGGAGACACCTCCAGATTGGCCTTCCGCGTCGCGCTGACCGGATCCAGAATCTGGAGCCGGGCGTTCTTGTGCCTTCATGGGCTTGGTGTTATCACAATTAAGCTTCCCTTCAAGGTACATACTTTCCAAGGAACAAGTCTGCTTCACTGGACAACCCCCAACAACTAATTTCTGGAAGCCTTGAGGCGTGCGAGGCGGCAGACCACAAAGACTCACAGCCTTTGCAAAAGCCTTGAGGCCGTGGAGGCTTTGTAGCCTTGAGGCCGTGCGGGGTTGAGGCCATGCGGGCTGCCAGCCCGCACGGGCGACGCAGAGCCTTTGCGGAAGCCTTGGGCCGTGCGGGCTGCCCGCCCGCATGGGCGACTCCGAGCCTTTGTGGAGCCTTGTGGCCGTGCGGGCTGCCCGCCCGCATGGGCACTCGAGCCTTGTGGCCGTGCGGGCTG